CGAAATTCTTTTTTTTATACAATTTTCTAATTTAATTAGAGATTTCTGTCTGACGTATCTTAATTTTTAGTATTAAATTCATTCATTTTCTGAAGCAGAGACAGTTCACTATGACCAAATCTCACGAGGCTCGGCCAAGTGAAAGAACTATAAATAAATGTATGACAACTTGGGGGGCAAAGTAGTTATTTAAATCCATGCTTTACGATCGCAGAGGTGGCCTCCCATGCCGCGCAGTACGGCGTCCCGTAATAATATGGGATTCACGTAGCAGCGGATGGATTTAGACCAGGCAGAGTTCAAAGCGAGGAACCAAGGGAATTAGGGGTTTCATTGTACTGATTGTTCACATTGTGCGTTAGAATTTCATGTGGAAACGTGACACTAATTTCGGCTCGAGTCAGGCTGACTCGATTTCGCCTGTTCCACTTCCTAATTTCATTTACCTGTTCCATATTTGTAATTGCATTCGCATTAATCATAAAATTGAATTAAATCAGACCAGGAATATTAATCAAGACTGTCAATCTTCTATACGATACAATTTCATTACAAAAAAATTTGTTAAAAAAAAAATAAATCACGTTTACAAATATTAGTTAAAAAATCGAGAAGGTGACGAAGGGTACTCCAAAAAATTGCATAAAGACCGAGAAACAGGCGAGGTTAACTCTTTCAGGTTGCAACCAGGCAACCGAATCGAAATCGATAAAAGGAGGAAGGGGGGGGGGTAGAATAACAAATTCCGCGAGGGAGCAGCTGGAATAGCGCAGGGATGAGTCTGGGTATCTACCGGGAATCAGGATTCGATCATCCCTGACAGATTGCCAGGCGTTGCATCAAAAGCCGAATCGCACCGATCGAACCTCGGTTGCCAATAAGCCTATCGCTCTCCGAGAGAGCCTGCGAGCGAAATGGACGACGACGACACCGACGAGAAACGAGAGTCGCTGACGCTGATAAACAAACTGCACAAAGAGTCGAGCACGAAGCTGTTGGTGTCAGCGACGTTCACTAGAAGAATCGAAGCCAGACAGCAGAGGCATTCGACGGAGGACTCGGATACAATGGAATGCGCGTCTGAGAACGAAGTCGAGAACATTTCGAAAGACTCTGACACGCCGGAGCCTCTGGTGACCGACGAGCATGGCAACAGAATTTCTGGTAGCGACAGACATTCTTTAGACGTCCCGGAAGAAGCCGAGTCTCTGCTGGGACGTCACGTGTTGACGAGGACCACTATAAAAGTGAACGAACAGAATTTCTCTGGGACCAGGTTGGGACTTTTACACAGGAGTCCACAGTCGTCGTCTAGTCAAGAAGAATACGAGCCAGAAGTGAAGAGTTTGATGAAGATACAAAAGCAGCATCAGCACCAGCACCAGCAGCAGCAACATTTATTGACCACTGGTAGTGCTCAGATAACTGCCAGGTCTATGGAGAGCTTGAGGACCTCCAGGAATTTTCTCAGTGCCGACGATCGTTACATCGACGACGCGAAATCGTTGGAGTCTTTGTCAGAGTCGCACGTGGCCGGTACCAAAGGTCAATACCGAAGCTTTTTGACATCCTCCACCAAAGACGTTCGGAGGATCGTCACGGTGGAGTCGAAGAGCAGCGATAATTTACACAGAGAGGAGAGTCTGAACGCCGAGGTGAGGAGAGGCTTATTCGCGAACACTGGATTGGAGAGGAAGCTTCCTCAGCATCTGAGCTTACCGCCCCCTTCGGGCGTCTTCTCGTTGACCAGTCCCGGTGGCAGCGACAGGAAGATCACTATACTCAGTCCTCATTCGCCTATGCAACCCGCGGAGTTCCAGTTCTCCGCTCAGACCCTCAAGACTAGGCGGAAGAAGGCAGTCGTCTTGCCGAGGTTGGTGTTGCCCAGAAGCGAATCCGAGGTGTTCTTAGAGTGAGTAGATTACACGGTAGAGTGCACTTAGTCTAGGTACCGAGTACTGCCACAGATTTCACTCAATCGCGATTGCATCCCATGCGATGATGACCGTGAAACAGTCATTTCATTGCATTTGTTTCTTGTCACGCATTTTTAGTCGGACAGTTTTTAATTCACTCCGCTATTGATTTTTCTTACTTCATTCTGTAATGCAATTTTTTAATCCATTTCGCTACACATTTTCTTATCAATTTTACGATTCATTTCGCTAACGATTTTGCAATTCATTTCGCATTTTTTATTGATTTAACACTTCATTTTTTTAATTCATTTTATTATTAATTTCGCATACAATCACATGCATATTCAATTCCTCTGAATTTTCCACTCCGATTTAAAACGCATTTACATATATAAATTTAATTTGTTTACCAGATAAACATTTCCGATGATCCTGTAACGAGGCGAGTGATCAAAGTACTTTATTCAGTTTAATAGAAAGGTATTAAAACGGTATGAGTCTAATTGGCCCGCCGGCTGCCAGCAATTAGACCGTTTAATTAGCCACGAAAGTTCACGCGTGACCTTTCACTCTGTTCTCTCCGCTGGAGGGGATTATAACTGTTAGATATAATAGCTAGGCTGCTAGCGTGCTTTTTGCATAAGCAAACAACGGGGCTGATCCGACGCAACAAACTCAGTTCAGCCTCTATCTGCCTTGTTTCCAAATGAATTTCGCTGCCAAAGAAACCGGGGCGATTGAAATTAACCGTGAATTTCGAATAGCCGCGTCGAACCAGGCTTATGAATATTTTAATTCGCCCCGCGCTGGCTATGTGAATATCGTCTCCTTGATTTATTTTCGTTCGTTACTCGTATCGATGATACCATCCCGGGAATTAATATTGGCGCATCGCAATTGCATTGAGAAAATCAAGCAGTTAATGAAACCTCTTTTTGGTTTAATTATACCAAGCGTAGAATTGCAGAATTCGGTTTTATCAGAATTTATAAATATATTATTAGAAGTTTGCTTTAGTTGGTAAAATAATAGACAGTTGGTAAAAAATATTTAATAAATATTCTTGTTGAATAAAATCGTATTTAATTGCGTATGTAGAGTCGAGGTCGTTAGTTGAACAAAAGTTGGGCTAGTAAATATGTAATAAATAAAATCATATCTAATTGAGTACATAGAGTCTCGAGGTCGTTACTTGGATACATAGGAGCGTTACATAAAAATAAACGGTAGAGGTTTATTAAAATTTTTTTAGTGTTACTAAAATAATCAATCAGCCACCTCGTACAATTTTGCAAGCTCGAAAATAATTGGACTGAAAAACCAGCAAACGTCCGCGGAAAATCGATGGGAAAAGTTAGCTCGGGCATTTGTTAGCGCAGGCCAACATTCGCGAAGCTCGCATTTTTTTTTTTTTTCTCTCTACGCTGGTCGTAGGTCGCCATGGAAACAACCTTTGAGGGGGCAGTTTGAATGAAAAATAGAAAGGGAAGAACGAAAAGCACCCTGGGCGCGTATCTTATATCGTTTTAAAAAAATACCAACGCTGGCAACTAAAACTATCCGGGAGCTTTGTGTCAGCAGTTGAACGTGCGGCAAGTTTTCAGGGAATGTTACATTTTGCCCTGCGGAGTTGCTAAATTATATTTCGAGAAGGAAATTTAACTTTCCAATTGTGCAGTGCATTAATGTAAACAGTTCAAAAATAATCAAACTTTCATTTAGCAAATAATTTAGTTTTATATTTATTTTATATTGAGGTTTAGTAAAAAAGTAATGTGAGAAATCATTTTCTGGTCTATTTTTAAATTCATTTTTTTATTAAATTTCGTGTAATTAATTTTAGCAATCAGTTTAAATCCATTTTGTAATAAAAGAGACTGCCCCTTTTAATTACCATAAAAGATTGTTTACTATTCTCCGGGTACTAATTTTCTGTCGTAACGCTGTAGTTATAACGTTTCCGAAATGGTTAACGTTAATTATATTATTTGCAGTGGATGTTTGATGGAAATATAATTACGCCGGCGGCATTATATATCATTAAATGCGAATAAACAGATTACTCGTCGCTGGGAACGCAAAATTCGAGCTGCTACGCGTTTATCCTCTGGGATCACTCATTACGAAACGTCGACCAGATTTCAATTGAAACAAAGTCATAGCCAGATTTATTATTTTTACGAAACTCGACCGACGCTCGATTTCGTACTTTAAATATCACCGGATTCCCTACAATAGTTCCTCAATTAACATTGGTAATCCTGTTCACCACAACGGTCATCGGACTTAACCCAAATACCGACCAGTCCATTCGCAACGAGTTCTACCTAATTAAGTCCATTCACAAGCAACAATACCTAGTTTGAATTCACCTCGAAATTACCCATTCAAATTCTTGCTTTGCTTATTTATACATGCTTCTATAATTCTTTATGCATTTATACTTTCCAAAAGAAGAAGTTTTTAGGGTAATGTTAAATCGTGGCCAGGATTGCAAGCTACCTTTAAAATGTATTTCGTCTCACTCAGTCACAACTTGAAATCAGTCATTCGTGCTTTACTTATTCATACATGCTTTTATAATTCTTTATTAATTTATATTTTCTGAAACAAGAAGCTTGTGAGTTTTTAGTCGTGGCTAGGGTTGCAAGCTCCTTTTGAAAATGTATTTTGTCTCACGATGTTCAGTTACAAGTTGCATTTAGCCATTCTGACTTTGCTTATTTATACATGCTTTCATAATTTTTCATTAATTTATATTTTCTGAAATAAGAAACCTGTGAATTTTAAATCGTCGTTAAGATTGCAAGCTCCTTTTTTAAAATGAATTTTGTCTCACGATATTTCAGTTGTAATTTACAATTAACCATTCTGAGTTTACTTATTCATACGTACTTTTATTATTCTCTATTTATTTACATATTGCAATAACTGAGTGATTTAAAATCGTGGCAGAAGGGTTGCAAGCTCCCCTTTAAAACGTATTTTGTCTGACGACCCTCAGTTACGGTAATATACCGTCGTTTAAAGTGGATCGTAATTTTTAATGCCTCGACTGCGACGTGCTGACTATATGACTACCTCTAGTCACCAGCATGACAGTGAGTCAGCGGCGGATCTATATTATACTACTTTGTTCTAGCTTAGAGTTATAGTAGTGCCGGGAAACTTTGGGGCGTTGCTTCCCCAGGAATTGAATTATTAAATGGGCAAACGGCGTCTGTGCTTTTAGAGGAAGTTTCATAATTAGTACAAAGGAGTCACGTTGCATATTTATAATGTTAACGAGTTACTCTTTTTGCTAGTCTAATTAAATATCGTTAATTTATTCGAAAATAGTTATTTTTAACAAATTCTCATGTATAAACAAAAATAAGTAATTGAATACGAATTGCATATGAATTATCTAAATCAATTATTTGTATTGCACTTTGACTTCTAATTAAACATAAGAATTTTTATTTCATTAATTCATTTAAAAATAATGCAATTATTTTTATAATATCTGTGCTTGTCTGTATTGTATATAATGTACCATTCAATATTGCCAGGGTGAGTTGCAAGCATCAATGGCGTGTTGGTATCGGGACTGGCAATCGATTCGGCGTTGCCATTTGTTTGTAGAAACCCGGGGCTTTCGTCGCTTTCGAATTAATTTGCAACGTTAATCGCGTTATAAACGGGCCACCGGGCGATCGTTAATTATATCTCTCGCATACGATGCACACGCTGTTCGATTTCGAGCGTACTCTTCTTCCAGCCCTTCACAGTAATTAGAACAGCCCCTTAAATCTGTGTACTTCACTTCTACATTTCATTCCTGCAAGTATTTTATTTTATTATTAGCTGAACACGTATTTCACCACTTTCCACCCTCTTAGGGGAT